TATGAAGACAGTCTAAAAGTACATCAGGAACACCAAAAATGGCGCACCAAAAATGAGGTGCCATCCTGCTGAAAATACAACTTAGAGCCACATGCATACTCAACAGCAGAAGCAACAAGCTGAAGAAAGTTAAGTGATACAAACAACCAATGGATCCGATCAAAGCATTTTACTTCCCACATCCAGTTATGAATAATGATGGAAAATAAAGCAATTTACCAGATAATCAGGTTCCAAAAGTCTCATTGACACGATAGCCCAGGACACAATTACAAAAGATAGTTCTGAAGGACTTGCAAGCATCTTCAGTGAGAAATACCATGTGGATGATCTACCACAGCCTTATTCTGAAACCCCAGCATTATGTATGCCAGTATTCAGAAAATGTACTTCACTACACGTGATATCAATGAATGGATTATGCAAATGGATGGGGGTGCTGATCAAGGCACTTGGTACAGCAGGGCCGCGGACCTGACAATATCCTGTCGTACTGTAGCTGTAGTACTGAAGGCTGGTGTTCCAGAACTGCCACGCTCCTGATTTAGCAATTCCAATAAAGCTCCAACACTAGCATCTGCCAATGTGAAAAACTGTTCATATATATGCTGTCCACATGAAGCAGGACACATCTAATTACTGTGCCATCAGTCCACTTTCAATCACCAATAATTAACAGAAGGTGCAATGGACAGCACTATTAACCAGCACTTACTGAGAACAACATGCTCACCAAAGTCAAATTTGGGTTTTGCCAAGGCCATTCAGCAGTGGACCTCACTTTGGCCTTGCTCCAAAAGAGTGACTGCCCTTGACATCAAGGCAACAATTGACCAAATGTGGTATGAAAGAGCATGAGCAATTTGGAAGTGGATGGGGTGCTAATCAAGAAGGCTGTTTTGCCTTGCAATAAATAGCTCAGATTTCTTAGTGCTACCATTCCCACTGTCATCAGTTTGTCAGAGGCTCTGTGGAAAGCTTATTCTTTTATGTACAATTGCTGAACCTGAACCAGGATACTATGGATGTTGATCTTGAACTGTTATAATGTAATTGGCCATTTATTAAGCTGCCTGTGATCAGTTGGATGATAAAATATTCACAACGCTATTGCATGTACTATTGTACTACATCTTGTATTTTCCATTGCAAAGTGCAACTAATCCTTATTCCATCAAGGCTGCAAAGGCAAAATGCCCAAGATGAATTAGTTTAATTTCTGATGAATAAAAGGTGCCTTAGCTTAAAAAAAAATTGTTTTGGCACAGAAAAATAGCTTTAAATGACTATTCTGTCTTTTTTAAAATGTACTTTCAGCACTGCATTCATCAGTATTTGTATTTCCATATTCAGCGTTGCATCCGAAATTTGATTCATGAATTAAGTATCACAAAACAGGACTCGGAAAAATAATGAGGGAAAAACAATTTCAGAAAGTATCTGGATTATTCACAATACACAGAGCACATAAATCACAGTGCATGAGGGAAGTCATGGCAGCAAAGAGCCAACAAAAAAAAATTCATATATGCTAAATGTATAAATGCCAATTAGGATAAGATCCTCAATACTGGAAAGATCTAGGAAGGCATCAGCAAGATGCTCAGCTGCAGTAAAAATATCAAATACAGTACTGAATTGAAGAGATAATGAATTGAATGCAAATCAGATGAAGCTGTATTGTTGCTTTGCAAGGTGTTTCACAGACCCCATCTGGAATGCTGTATGCAATTCTATTACCTAATCACCAAGATATTATTGCTATTCAGAGGATGCAGAGGCAAGAAATGATAATTGCAGGTCTCAGGAAAGTATTCAGAATTTGAAGAAAGGATGGAGGTGAGCTACAGAAAGGTATGAAGATGAATGAATTTGACAGTGTTGATCCGGGAAAATCATCAATATGTTAAGCACAGGGGAATATAAAATGTAAAAATTAGCAATGTAAGACAAATTATATTTCACCAAAATAGTAAAGAGGACAATTTGCATTCCGATATTGGGCACAAAAAGGGCTACGATTCGACAAATATTAGTAGAGTTCAACTTCCATCATTGTTCATGCTCCCAAGCAATATGTCAACATTTCATTGGGCCATAACAGGGATAGACCAGGTGTCTGAATTCTGGAGCTTATACATTTGGTTTCAAATTGGGTCTAGGCTGGCAAAATAGCATGACAGTGAGATGAATTGTAGGATCGAGCAAAAATCCCCATCATCTAAATTATTGGACAAGACTCTGAACTTTTCAAAACATTTAAAAGTAAAGGGGACAGCTGGACTGAGCTCTGGGGAAAATACACAAACATAGAGATAGTTCTCCAGATCCATTTGTTCAACCTGGAATGCCAATTTGTGCCTCCTCTCTTAAAGAACTATCAACAAATCTGACAGACTCTAGCCTGAGACCATTTTTATATCTCGAGCTAAACAGTGCAGTCAGAGATACCAGACATTGAACTTCAATTGAAATTCTTTAACAAATACTCTAACGATCAAAAAGCCAATTAACTTCAGAAGAGAACATTGAAAGTTTCAAGAAAACTACAGATTTGAGGGGAGATAACAGGTCATAGAGTCAATATAACTGCTAGCTCTGAGAAAGCCTTTCCAACAAGCTTCTGTACAAGCAGCTTCTACAGCAGCTTTGGAACCAAGAACAAATTAGGCTGAACCGAGAACCACAGAGGCTGAACCGAGAACCAAGAACAGGGAAGCCAAACCAAGGGCCTCACCAGAGCAAAGAAAACTGAGAGGGCGAAGCCAATCAGAACTTCCCAAACAAGAACTACCAGATGCAGGCCTGCTCCAAACCAACAGAACCGACGGCAAGAACATCAGCAACTGGGCGTACTTCAAAACCGTGTTTTCCTCAATGGTGAGCTGAAACTCCGGTGACCTCAATGTTCCAACCTAGCTAGCAGGGAAGGAAAGGCGGGTGGTGACAGTCCCAAGGGTAGGAAGCCTGATTAAAGATCCTGTTATTAAAATTGTTGGTTTTAGGTTCTATTAGTGTTTAATCTAGCTAAAAGTGTATTTAATAGTATTACTGTCCTCTGTATGATGGTTGTGTCAATTTTCCAGTTTATTGCATTTACCCATATTTCTTGTATTATACTTACCTTTTGTATTTAAATAAATGCAGAGATTCTTTCGCCCTGAAACACCTGTCTACTGCCTTCTTCATTTCACATTCCCTAAATAAGTCCAGTGTCTACAGCCAGGGATCTGGTGGTGATTTGAACCACTTATAAAAATCAGAAATTAACTGACTGTTTAAACCAGAACCCCACACATTAGACACATCACTCAATGTCCTCCCACCTCCCACCCTGTTCCCACAGGGCTGGTCAAGTTCAGCCCTGTTTGTTTTAATCTTTTCTGAAGCAAGAACTATAAAGGCTTAGGTTAAGTTCTTGGGCGGTCCCACAGACTAGTACTAATTTTCTCATTCTCTTAATTGGGTGAGCTGGCTTTGAGCATTATGTTAGCACAACAACTGATGAAAAAAGGGCTTCAAGGATATGATACAAAGGAACAAATTGATGGGACTGATCTTTTTTCGATCCTTAAGCATTCTCATCATCTAAAAGTATGTACTTTATCATAACCTCGCTGTACAGTATCTCTTCAAAGGCAATGTCTGTTGTAGGTATGAGAGAAAAACTATTAAAAACTTTATTATTGTACTGTTCTGAAACATCAGCTTCACTACTTCATTGGGCACATAACTGTGGACATGACTTGGGTATATCAGCACTGAATCTTATACACAGCTTGCAGAACCATAAGTGTGTATGTCAGTTTTCCACCCAAAGAATCTATTTAATATCAATGCTCACACTGACTGCTTTTCTTATTCCAATGATTAATTCTGTTATTTCAACAATGACATTGATCAATTTTTCCGCAGCATTAGAATGTGAGAAATTCGTTCCCCAATTCCAAAAAATGTTCAACCAGTCAGTAACATTTATTAAGGACAAATAGTTTGTTGCATTGATACGTAAACAGTGTACAAGAATTTATCAAAATTAGTCCATAGTTTTATGCCTGGAAAAGACCTGGAAATAGATTTCCTCATTTTGTGTTTACGTCAGACAAGAAATTCTATTTTAGCCAACTATCTTGGCATTCCCTGAAAATCCAAACCTTATTGATAAATCATTGATTTTGAATTTAGGCTGTGCAATGATTCATGTACAAAGCATTAACTTCTCTTTACAAATGCTCGTCAACCTGGTTTATTTCAGTTTCTGTATATTTATTAGATTCGATCATTTCTTTTATTGCATGAACACCTCGTATAATTGCATGTTTTTTTTTGTCTTTTGCCTTAACCCATTTATTTCATTCAAGGCTAAAAATGTAATAAACCTCTGATGCGTGTATATTGATTTATTTTACATAAATGGCTGAGAGCAATTTCTTCTTAAAAGTGGATTGACTAGATTAAAACTTCAACATTCAAATTTATGTGTATCCTTTATGTGTGAAATGATTCTCAGCTCAATATCATTAACCTAGCAAAGTATCCTAAGGCATTTTATAGTTGGTGGTCATCAATGCAGTAATTATACAGAAATTTGATACATTCATAGTAAAGATTGATCTGAATCTTAATTTGTTTAATAAATTGATCTTTTTTAAAAAAATGTCATTTGCACAGCATTTAGGTCACAGATCATTTCAGTTATGGGCTAACACTATTATAGAGAGAAATATTGATTTATAGTAAAGTTGAGACAAAGTCTTAAACACAGAGAAGCAGCAATTGCCATTCTGGGTAAGTCATTGTAAATCATTCTCAGATAAATCATACATTTTCTTTGCAATAGTTCTCTTGCAAAATTAAATGCTGAATAATTTTACCACAAACTGTTCTTTTTATTTAATTGCAACAAGCTGTTTACAGAAGTGTGACTTTGGGTAATATTTGAAACTAAGAAGTATGGAAGACTAGCACTTTATAAATAAAGGTTAAAGGTCACACAATACCTGTACATTTTTTAACATGACTTCCTCGTTTAAATCCGTGTCGGCTCAGCTTGCACTTGAAATTTGCTTCCCAAAACTCTGCAAACCAAATGTTTCTTCTGTTATTCTCCAGGGTCCGACTCTTGAAATACCTATCAAATCCTATGACAAAAGAAACATTTGTTAATCACTCACATTACTGTAAAAATGCTGAATGATTTTTGACTATTGATTATTCAAACTTTCAAGTCAGCATCAAATAACTGAATCATGGCTCCTCTGTTAATGGAACAGTCGGTGTCCATAAGCCACAACATTTGGACAACATCCAGGTTCGGGCTGACATGCAACAGGCAACGTTTACACAAAACAAGTGCTACACAATGACCATGTCCGACAAATGAGAAACTAAGCTTCAACCTTTGACACTCCTTGGCATTACAGATGGCAGCATAGTGGCACAGTGGTAAGCACTGTTGGGTCACTGTGTGGAGTTTGCACATTCTCCCTGTATCTACGAGAGTTCCTGCTGGATGCTCTGGTTTCCTCCCACTGTCCAAAGATGTGCAGGTTAGATGGATTGGCCATGCTAAATTGCCCTGTATGTTCTCGTTTGTGCAGGCTAGGTGGATTAACCATGGTGAATGCGGGGTTACAGTGATAGGGGTGGGTCTGGATGGGATGCTCTTCAGAGGGTCAGTGCAGACTTGGTGGGCCAAATGGGCTCTTTTAACACTGTAAAGAATCTATGATTATCATTGTTGAATCCCACACTATCAACACCCTGGAGGTTACCATTGACCAGAAGCTAAACTGGATCAGCTATATAAATACTGTGACTACAAGAGCAGATCAAAAGCTAGGAATGCTGTGGCAAGAATTCAATCTTCTGACTCCCCAAAGCCAATCCACCACCTACAAGGCACACACCAGCAGTGCAATGGAATGCTCTCAATTTTCCTGGATGCATTCAGGAAATTCATCCTGAAAATGCTCAGCTATCCTAACAAAGCAAATTGTGGATGTGATGCTAATAAAACAATCTCTAAAATTTATTCCCACCATGACTAATGCAAAGTGAAAGCAGTACGTACAAGATGCATTGCAGAAATACCCAATGAGTCCTTTGGCAGCACCTTCTAAACCAGATTCACAACAACATTACCAGCTGCAAGTTCTACTCTAAGCCACACACCACCTGGTCTTGCCACTATTTCACTGTTCCTTCACTAATGATGGATCAAAAACCAGGAACTCTTTTAATCTCAGCACTTTGAGTTTACCAATCCCCATTGACTGTGATGTTTAGAGAAGGCAGCTCCTTACTACCTTCTCAATAGCAGCAAAATGGTAACTACGGATGGGAAATAAATGTTGAAACAATAAAATACAGGTAGCTGTCTGAATTTGCATATATTCACTAAATTCTGGATTCTTTAACTGTTGAAGTAATAAATAGTTTCCCTCATCAACTTTCAATCAAAATAAGAATTAGGATGGCATTAATTCAGTAGTGACATTTGCATCCTTAAGCAGTGACCAACTTCCAGTCTTCTATACCTTTGACCATGTCCTATAAGTAATTCATTTCCTGGAGTTTATCAGATTATTTGATTACAAGTGGATTTAAAGTTGAATTCATTTTGGCCAACCACAAATGATGCTGAATCTTGTGTTTTTTTGAACAAGTTACAATCATTTTGGGTTTGGTGGACTGATTCTTACAGCAAGAACAAAGACTGGGCTTTGTGCTGTAAGAAGGTAATGACCTCTCAGATTAAGTGCAAAGTTTGACCTCAACTACTTCACACTTATCTGTGCCACTGCACCCACCTCCCACCAATGTTTATGTTTGGATACGCCCACTGATACATAAAACACTTGACCTTACTCATTCTCATTATTCTCCCCTTCCTCCCACACTACTAAACTTTATGCTCTTCCTCACTCCTGTGGAGTAAGTCAACACCAAGCTCCTGTGTATACCAGCTGTAACATCTGTAGCACCCACTGTGTCTTAATCATTTACCCCCTTTATATCATTATAGGAGAAGACCATACCATAACAGGATGGAGTGATGCCAGATAGTCGGTAGAGCACTAGACATCTGAATCATAACATTCTGAAAATACTCCTGTAGAATTCGACCTGATATCTGATTTTTGAAAGCCAATGAATTTTGAATGAGTTAAAATTGCAGTCAGATTATGAATTTAAGAGGTTAACCAACTAAAAACACAGTCATGTTCAATCAATTTTAAATAATCCTTCATTTTCCTAAATTTTGTGTTACGAGCCATACTGTGCTGAGACTGATATTACTAAAAGTCTGAAATTATGAAAGGCTCTGAAGTATTATTTTATTCAAAACAATAACTCAGTTTCTTTCACCAGATGCTGCCAAATCTGCTGAGTATCTTCAGCATTTTCTGTTTGTTTCAGATTTCCAGAATCCACAGTACTTTCTATTTACTAAAGCTTAAATCAGTATATTAATGCACTTGGTTACACTTTTCAAAACCTTCATGTACATTTACTGCTTTCATATTGCTCATCTGTGGTGGATTTGCAGAATAAGTTGGTGTAATGTGGTGAGCAGATTGCCCATCTGCCTTGTATCCTGTATTATTTTGGGATTTGGGGTAGAGTTGAAAAGATAAAACCTCTGCTCCTGAGGGGTTAACTAAAACACCTACTATGCCCCTTAATAACTGTTCACAGATCCCAGGAAAGGACCTCTTGAGAATTCTACTCTAGGCAATGTATTCAAACAAACCATGCTAATCTATCCAACCCTACCAAGGTATATTGAGACTATTTTCACCAGTACCTTTCGGTGTCAAAATGCCCTTCACAGATATAAAACTTACATCTTTCACTTGGCAGTCTCTACCAGAACATCTGCTGTTGTATCTGTGAAACTTTTATGGTATCTCACTCAGTCCTTGAACCATTAATATGTGTCAGCCTTTCAGTCAAAATGGTTGTGTGAAGTCCATTTATATTGCTCCATGAAGAAGGTCTTTTCTGACACAGTGATAGTGCCCCTATCTCTCACCAAGATTCCCAAGTATGTTCCAGAGGTACGTCATAACATATATGAACAAGTTGATTAAAAATATCTATACAGCTTCATGAAATTTGCTTCCAGTCAGCTGTCTCTGCTCCAGGCTATTCAGCAATTGGCACCAATGTTGCATGCTAACACCAGATGACCAAACAGACATATTTCAGTGGCCCAGTAGCCATTTAGCTTCTGTTTGTCAAACTTCAGCAAAATAACCCTCTGTACGTTCGATTCTCCTTAAAATATAATGACTATGTTCTATGTTGATTTAATGGTATCATGTTCAAGTCTTGTGCATAGGAAGCACAGGAAGGAATTGACTTTCCAACTCTGAATTTAGCAGAGAGCTCAGTTGTACCCACTATAATACTACTGCAAAATACAAAGAACAAAGTGATATGATAGTAGACAAAGGAATAGTAGTATTGAAATTGTTTCCCAGGTTTGGATGTACAAACTTTATGAAACCCAGAATATTTGCTGATATTGGCATGAGTGACAATTCACACTATAAACATCAGTCTAAAAGGTTAGCACAATTGTCAGGAAATATTGAGCTGGATAACTTTTGAAGTTATGAACATGTCTTGTTCAGTCCTCAACAATCTGATGACACACTCTTGCACACAAGAAGGCCAATTACTGATCTTGCAATTATACTTACAGTAACGTTTGATACTCAAAGACGAAGATTACCTGCATTGTGTAGCCCAGGCAGGGGAGGGGGCTGTACAAGCAAATGGGAGAAGATTAACATGCAAGCTTTACTTCACAGTATTGCCGTGCATGTATTAGGGTTTTTATCAAGTATCAAAACAAAATGTATATTATGATCAGATAGAGCATAGAAAACAAACTGCTGGCATAGGCAAGCCAGTGTGCATTAGTGTAACTCCCCAAACTGGATAAATGAGGAGGGTTGGTATAAGGAAGGGCACGTGGCTGTAAAAATACCCATCAAATCCAACAAAAATAATTGTTATGTTGGTGATTGACCAGCATTTTGCAGATCCTACATTACAAAGGAAATGCTAAAAGAGGAACCGCCACACGGAACATAGGATTTTCTGTATTTTGACGGCTTTTGCTATAGTATGGAAGTCAAGACAACACCTTTCACTCTGTGCAAAGATTTCTGCATGAACTTTTCTCTAGCCTTGTTACCAATGTTTTAGGTAAATATTTTGCATTCAGGTAGCATGTCTTCATAATTTATAGGACATTCAATTTTATACCATGCACACAGTTATCAGGTAATCATTGATTCAATTTGACAGGCACTTCTGCAGCAGGAAGAAAGATTTACCCTTTAAGCCACTGGCTTATACTATTAGGGCAGTCAACTGACCGGAATAGTGTGGCCTTGTAGTTTATTAAACTGCTAAGATTGTTGTCTTTTACAGAATTCAATAATGCTACATTTCGCTGGAGCATAGGCTCCTGTGCTTCCAGCAGCAAGTGAACAGTAAAATGTGAGTAAAATAAAACAAAGAACTTCAGATGCTGAAGATCTGAAAATAAAACAGAAATTTCTGGAGAAACTCATTAGGCCTGGCTGTATCTGTGAAGAAAAAGCATAGTTAACATGCCAAGCCCAGTGACCTGTCCTGAAGAAGGCTTACTGGACTCAAAACATTAAGCCTGCTTTCTCTCCAGTATAACGTGACTATACTTTTAAGTAGTGGTCAAAGCCCGTAGCAATGACTTGTTTAATCCTAGTCGTGGTTAGCTGCTTGGAGAACATATTAGGTCAAATGCCAGCCGCAACAATGTTGTGCAGCCCACTAGGCATGGGAAAACAAAATAAGTGGAAATCAGTCCTATAACGAGGGAAGGGGTAAAATATTTCAACTCCTTTTAGACCAAGGTAGCATTTTTCACTTAAGTCAGATGTCTGGCATTCCAGCTCAAGAGCCCATCTTGATCACTTATGATGCTCTTTAAAACAAACAACCCACTTAAAAATCACTGCCTTATTCCAACCAACCTGTCACTTCCTGATTTTAATGACTGAAATCCACCAACTCAGCATTAATTCGAATCCAATTGCCAACTTGTATACACATTCTGCAATTTTACTGAAGTTATAAATCA